TATTTTCGTTAATGATATGTAGTTCTAAATATTGTTGAATTCTCATTTTTGATCCCACAAGACAAATGGTCTGGGTCCGCCCCGGACCACAATCTCTATTATAACATGCTACCTAGATGTGCCAAGAGGCATTGTCGGCACTCTAGTTGGATGGCTCACATTGCCACCCTACTCTAAATTCTTATCAATGACATAACATTTAGATGCGTCGTCACGAGACCGTGCTAGCTATCAAGTCACCACAATCTTGAAGTTTCCCGAGCATGGCTATGCGTGAGTCAACACGATCCTTTTGTAAGTGTATCGAGCTAGGCCTCACATGCTTAAAATTATTTAGGATTAGCCAGGCTTGATAAAAACTTCTTGGTTTACTAACTTTCGTTCTTATGCTTGATTTTTTTTTCCTCATGTATAGACAAGCCTTCATAGGTTAGTCTTAACGGTGTTCACTTAGCTCTAGAAGCAAATTGGCCCACGAACTGTACAATCCCTTATAAGGTTGGTCTATGTTTGGGACAGGCAAACTCTTCCCTACTAGACCATCGAGGTGCGAGCAGTACAATGACATATTTTTGCACCTCTACTCAATTCAAGATAAAAATTAAAGAAGAAAAGGGTAATTGAATTTATGAAAATTTTTCGGAGAGACAATTTCAAACTACAGAGCCTTTTCTTCCTTGAAAGCTTATAAAAATGTGCAGACAATCTTTAAAACATTCTAAACAGAGCCTTCTATAGGTTTCTTCATGCAACAGATCAAGTGTCCCAATCTGATGAAGAAAAGGTCAAAAAATCTGACAAACACATGAATTATTTTCATGAATTATTTTCAAAAAGGCAACTCAGAGTGGTCTCATCTTCTTCACAAGGGTCCAGTGTCTCTGCCAATATGCAGCCTATGATTTGATATTTTTTTCAAAATTACCAGTGGGGCTTTTGTGTCAATTTATCTTACAATAATTTTAGCGTTGTCAACAAGAAAACAAAAGGTCAACTAAGGTTTCAGAAATCCCTTCTGTCACTCAACTAATAGGGAAAGGGGAGAAAGTCAGTTGGCAACTATATACGTGGTCTTGGGAGAGTAGAATTAAAATATTTTTAGGATATCAATCTTATTAAAAGAACTATTTTCGCACGGGCTGGATTATTTTAAAGGTAACATTAGTGTGTTAAATAT